ATATATATATATATATATATCGTCGGAATAATAACAGATTCAACAGAGTCAAACAGTGCAAATTACGACCGTCTGAGATACGCGAAGTGGGCAAAATGTAAACCGGATTTATTTATATTACAGGATATTCCAAAAACAGAGCTTGCACTCTCTTTTAACCTTATATAATATTATGTATATGTAGAATTAAAATTAAAACTTTCCTTAAAAAATTTTGTGAATTTTCCGAGACTTCATGTAATGATACGTCGTATTATATAAAGATGACTGAATTTAATTTGTATTCAAATTTACCTTGCATTGTATTGTTAAATAGAAACGGATTGTGTTTTCTGAGGAATTCCTTGATGCTTATATTTCATCGTAACCCGAATATTGTGTAGCCAATTATGTTTCCTTTTACTCATCATTAATAATTTCATATTCTCGAATTTAATGATACTAATTGGTTTCAACGGAACAATAATGATAATAATATCATGCCGACGTTTACTCGCATGCGACGTTTCCCAAATGTAAATAAAAACGAAGTATTAAACTCGAATTTTCCTTTATAATTAAATTTAATAAAACATCTCATTAAGTTATAACCCTAATTAATAATTGTTTAATAATATTATGCTCAAAATAGGAATAAATTTTGATTATGTATTTAAGTCTACGCACAAATCAGAGTGTGGTTTGCTACTAAAAACTGTTTAACTTCTATTAAAATGATGATTTAACAAAATTCTTGTCATTCGAACGTTGTCATTCGATACTAATCGATAGTGAAAATGTATTTCTCTGTTTAATTTAGAGAGATAAAACTACCGAAAAATATTTTTAAAATGCGAAAGTCTAATATGAAGTAAGTGTATTTTTAAATAGATTGTAAAGACAATTAGAAATTGACAATTAATCAATTCATCCAGTTGTTATAAAATATATATATTTCTGCAAAGATATCTCTTTAGAGTTTCGATAATAATGCTTATTTGTTATTTTAAAGTAGAAAGTTGGTCAGAGTGTTTGGAATTATACTTTGAAGTTGAGGATTTGACATTAGTTTAGGATTCACACGTTCAAAGTTAACGTCTGACTTGGTATAGGATGCATGTTGAACGGCGAATTCTAACTGCGAAGCAGGACATATTGCAGAAACAGGGTCATAGGTAACGACATGCTCGTGCATGCCGACATGGTTTCTCGTTCTCGGTCACCTTAGCCTTATTATCGAATTGCGTCTTTGATTCATTGCCATTGTTGAATGCAGAATAATTTATTGAATACTGCAGATGTCATAGAAACTGTACAATAGAAAATACATAAATTTCATTATGAGAAACAGTATTTGAAAAGAGAATTAAATCAAAATCTGATTTCGGAGAAAAGTTTTTGAGAACAATATCACGTCATTTATGTATAATGCTTAAATATTTATTATTTTCAGATATATCAGTATAAAGTGCAAAAGTGACGTTTGATTATTGTCAATAACGATTATTATAAATAACGAAGATATCCTTTGCGTAAGGACAAAAAGTTTTCGGCTACAGGAAGTGATGAAGAAACGCAATCGTTTTTTTATGAGTATCATTGATAACATCCATTCTTTTTACCCCGTTAGGCGGGATTAAGTTCAAGAAGAGTCAGCGATATGTACAAAGCTCCCGGGAAGAAAGTGCCACGATTATGTCGATTCTCTAATTAAGACGGCCGTGCCGACGCGGCTGGAAAAGTGTCGGAGCGATAAAGTGTCGAGACGCATCAGCGCGGAATAATCGATCGTCTCTCGCGTTTACTCGAGCCCGTCGGTAATTAATTACAGCGCGAACGGTAATTTACACTCCGCGGCAAATACATAAGCACACTCCCTCACAATGCATACGCGGAGGAAAGAGGGAGGGTAGATGTACGTCTAAAACCATAAATTATTACGACGCGCTGCTTTGAATTTAATCGTAAAATAAATAAATCGATAAATACATATATTGAATTCTACGACGCGCCTCTCGCATCGTGCCGTCCTCCATTTTTCGTTATTGTCACGATGTGTCTCCTCCTCATTTCTGTCAGAAGGGAATCTCACGCCGAGAGAATCTCACATTGAGCGTATAAAGATCTATTTAGCGCCTCCCGCGGATTAAGAGAAATTGTAGAAGAATCGTTCTAAGTCCCATAAACTTCAAGTGAACTCATTTTCGCGATTAATCCTACCCGAAAGATTAAAGTTTAACAAGGGTTAACGACCCCGCGTGACGAGGTCGAGGATGAGAATCCACTTGTCGTCCTTCGCGAGTTAAAGTGCACTTATTGACCGCTCTTACAAGCAATCCAACCACGTCACCCTAGGTAATCCCCGATCCGCTATACGCGGAGTACATTCCGTGTACAAACTGCGATCTTGCTGGAAGGATTTCCGAATCCCCGACGACCTGTCAGCTCTTAGCGTCATTCTCGCTGGAGAGATTAGTCGAGGAGTTTTCGTGTGAAAAAAAAATGAGAGAGCTCGAGAATCTTCGAGGCGGATAGAAAGAAGGATGAACAGACATAAAAGAAGAAATTCTCCGATCGTAATCGCCACTTCGTACCGTTTTCGTTTTCCCCGACTGCCATCGTTCTCCTTCAACTATCGTTCTTTCCTTTGCCCATCCGTGTCAACCTGATCTTCGAAGCGTCGTAAAAATAGACACCTAGAGAACATCCGGGGTGACACTCGTTAAACGCGGGAAGGACTTTGGCAGGAGATCGACGAAGAAGATCCGTCTGAGAAGGAGGAAGAGAAAAATAACGAACGATAGCGCACGAACGAATGATCGTAAAGTCGCCTTCTTCTTCCTACTGATGCCTCCGTATATCGCGAAAGATGGAAGACATAAGAGAACGAGTCACCCAAGTTGGCAATCGAGATCTCGTCACCTCGCGGATGCGTCGTTCGCGACAACGTGACTTTTTCGTATTGTCGATTAAACGGGATTGCGGGACTGGATATACGCCGTAAACTTTTACAACAATTCCCGGTAACGACACTCAAAATTTGACGGTCGTCGGAACAACTCCAGTTGACTGTCTCTCGTAGAAATTTAAGCGGTGGTTTCCGAGAAGTCTTTTTATATTGATTTAATAATAAGGTCGGAAAAGTGCTGGGGGTGCGCGTAAGCTAATAATAATATAGTTTCAATTAGAGCGTTCGATAAAATACATAATTATTTTAAGTACAATATTATAAATGGAAATTAGATCTCTATAATAATAAAATAAAGATATTAGATAATATTTTTATCTTTTTTATTTTGACAATATATAAATATTTATTAAATAGCAAGAATTTTTTATTTTTGTTCGAAACGGATCTTGATGTTTGATATTTATATGCAAATGTGCAAATACATTTTTCAGTTCTAAACTGAGCGCTGATTGACTGGAGACTGCGTTCCGTTTTCACGCTTACACACTAAATATCAGTTTATCCTTGTTATCAAATGTTATCTATCAAATATTAAATACAACATGGACAAATGATGCTTACAAGCACTGTAAGCGCAAAAATCTTTTTAAGACATATAATTATTAAAAACTGTCGTTCATAATAATGCTTGAAACTAAATAAATAATTTTTGTGATAACTCGATATTAATTTTTATCTTTTTTTCCACTCTTAACAACATTGATGATTGGATGATGCGAGTATGCCATTAAATTCTAAACAATACTCTCACGTTCACGAATTCAACTGAAACTTTCATGTCGAAAATATATTTTCATATGAAAATTATGCTAGTGATTTTATGTAGACGACCATACACATCAAATATACATTCAACGCAAATCTCAGTAAACTTTATCGGAATGTATTCATCGTACCTGAAGTTAATAACATCTACATAAACTGTGGCCACATGCAAAATTATTAACATTGTATTATACGATATAAAAACATAAATTTTTGCAATTGAAAGAAAGAAGACTGGAAAAAATATTATAGATTATTTTGTCTCCCGGGAGATATTACGTCGCACAAAGAAGATATGTACAATGTTAAAAGTTCTAAATATTGATCTTCCCGGTTGCAGCTCTGAAAACCTTCGTCGGTGAGACGCTGGAACTGACGGGAGTGCTTCGACAAGAGATGGGCACGTATCTCTGCATAGCCAGCAACAATGTGCCACCGACGGTCAGCAAGCGTTACTCCGTCGATGTTCACTGTAGGTATCACGCCGCGATGCGGACGTTAATTAGCCGTTGCCTCGTCGTCGTCACATTGAATACATTACCAGGGCAGAATGCCCGAACATTATCCCAGTCATGTTCTCACGATTGTCGAGCAACGGATATAGGCACCGTCAATCACGCACGTTAATGAAATGTATTATGAAAGCTTCAATTTCTCAAAATAAAAAAACAATATGTTATTTATAGAAGATAAAGCATCATAATTGAATGATAATTAATTACAAAGAAACGCGATTGTCTGAAAAGTTATAGATTTTTACTTTAAAAGTTATTATATTGAAGGATTCCCCTGGATCCTTGTGTGTTATATTGCATAATTACTCGCTGTCTTTCATAAGTTCACGTATGACAAGACGGATAAAGATGAGAGCGTTAATTAATTGTTTAATTAAACCGGGTATATAATGATTATAATGCTGCTAAGACAATATGTGCTTGAAACAATGTTACATCGAAACATTATACTTCTATGCCTCTTCCAAATTTTAACTAATTATGAGATTTTTTATAATTTCCTATTAATTCAAGATTTATCCACAGATTTTAAAATTTGTATAATATTCTTAGGTTATATGTAGGTATAATTTGATTTTTCTTGCTGTTAAATTTTATTATTTTAAATATTGTAATTTGTATAATTCGCATACCATGATGAAAAAATTTTTTCATCTTTTTTACATAATTTTTCAGAATTTTTATATAAATTTTGTAACTCTTTTAGAAAATTGTTTAGATTGTTTTATATGATTTGAAATACTTTACAGAAATGCTGAGAAAGTCAATATTTTTTTTAGAATTCTTTGTATATGTAGATTCTGAAATATATTAGAATTTTTGTTTTATATTAGAATTTTATACAAATTTTTTCCGATGAAAATTTATAAAATCTCAAATAATTTAAGATATTTAGAACACTTTATAAATTTAAAATGTAAAAAATTCTTAAAATTATTACGAGATATTAAGAAACTTTTTTTTATCAGGATAATGAATTTTAAAGATAGTACAGCGTTTTCATTTCAATTATGTCGAGCTCTCTTTTGTAAATGTAAATTTTATTATAATGTACTTTAATTACTAGTGAGAATTATATCGATTATTAATGCTTCTTCAATATCGGTGGTAAAACTATCATCTGGCTTCTGTACAGCGCTGTGGTTAGGAATATACCTAGATAGAGATTTTCAATAGGAAATGAGGTTGAGTTAAACTTTAAAACATTTTTCGATATCTATATTATCTCAATTTCCCATTCAAAAACTTTTCCCCTAGAACTATCGCACAACTTTATTAATATTAAATACGAAACAATACGAAAAAAAACTCTATCATTATAGTATAGTATAACAAATATTTTTTCAACTTTTTTATGATCAACATTGATCATAATTTAAAATATTTTTATATCAATGTTGTTACATATTTTTGTATATTTTTTTTAAATGTCGCATACAATAACGTAAAAATTGTTTGTTTTAATGTTAAGCAATCCAAAGTTTTATCACTGGAAGACAACGTTTGTTGCGAAAAGTATGCCAATAACATTCTGGGAGAAACAATAGAATTACCGGGAATGCGCGCATTGTTCGCAACGTTATACGCCTCGCGTATCGGGAGTCTAAAAAATCACCGTGCAATTTGGTTAACGGCATTCGCAAATGAAAACTTTATCAACCCCCGAAGTTCACCCGCGCTGGGCGTTTTTCTCGCGCGTGAAACTTCCGGCCGCGCGCTACTGCAAAATTAACCGGCGGGCTTGACGATTTATCCACGTCGTCGCGGGTCGTGTAAATATTTGAGCGCAAAGGGTTTCGCATTAATTCGCTGCTTACGAAATGTAATATTAACCCACCGTTGGCTCTCGTGCACAAAGTGCGACAGAACCAGTTAATTCTTGAATGAGAAGCACGCTCTCTCCTTTGGGATTCCAAACGTATTTTTACTCTATTTTTTTATTCCATCTATTTTGGTCTTCTGTCTGACCTCATTTTGCTCGCCTCTAAATAACGCGTAAAATTTTTTTGCCTTCACAATTCTTTTTTAATTAACCAAGTAATTATTTAAGATAATCTTCGTAATCTTATTAGGACAAGAAATGTTGCGTTAAAAAAAAATATGAAGATTTATACAAAACTGAAAATGTGCAGAACAATACATACTTACTCACTGTTATTTTATTTCGGATGTTTGATATTAATAATGTACGTTTTTTGATAAGCGCAAAATATTTGCTCGCCGAAGAGCAAACAATTAAAAAAAGACGACGGAATATCGTGCTATTCTCTATCGAATCAGAGACTACATTATTATTCCTTAATTGTGATAATTTAATGATCGGTTGTTTCAGTTTCACCTCTTATTAAAGTGACAAATCAATTAGTGGCCGCGCCGATTAATAGCGACGTCGTGCTACAATGTTATGTCGAAGCGTCGCCGCATGCTATGAATACTTGGTACAGAGATGCAGGTGAGAGACAGAATATTTCATATGATCTACTTTTCGTATAATCTGCTATTTCCAAAGCGTGAATTATCTATACAATTTGGGAAGACAAATACTTTCTAATATAAAATCTGTTTTTGGGAACCTCGAAATACAAATACTTTTGGATTCGTAAAAAATTGCTGAAAAAATAGCTGTCTCACGAATTAAATTAAGTCCAGTCAAAAATTTGTTAAAATTTGAATTTGATAATCAGACACCCATAATTTGTATTATCTCACATTACACTAACAGATTTGCACTCTTGATTAACCATAGAATGGCTGCAATCAGTTTCTAAAGCGGAAACTCCAACATACCATAATAATATTGATTGCAAGTCAGAATTGCGTTAGATTGAAAATCTGTGCATCCACGCATACACGCATGTATATATACACACACATACACATATTTCACGCGATTGTATTATAGTTTTGTCGCGTCACGAAGAGACTTTTTGCACTAGACGCGTTAATCAAATATGTAAATTCGTGAATTGCTCGTAAACGCGCTGCCGTTCCGAAAAAAAGCTCCATAAATTTCCCGTCAAAATCAATGCGTTTGAAAATTTTTGATTAACGACGACAGTTTCTCGCGGATGATTTCAAAGCGTTACTTTATGCTGCGCAATAAACGATACACAAATATTGAAAAATACATATGAGAATAATTGATACAGTTGTACAGCAAAAATTGAGTCATTTATATCGCTCTGATTGGAAAACCATAAAAGTGTTGTTTATAAGCTACACATTTCTCTTGCAGTTATTGACTCGAGTGTAGGTACGAATATGTTTTTCATCTTGTTTATTTGAATCTTTATTTTTTGCAAAAATTTTTATTGCTCCTCGGTGTATTAGTAGTAAGAATTTACTTTACCAAACATTAGCTGTCTTTGATGTTAAAGTAAACATTTTATTTTCGAATATTAAAGCATACTTGGAAACATATTGAAACGTAATTTGAACATTTAATAAACTAGTCGTGCGCACTGTTTTAAAGTTAAAATTTTAAAGTTAAATAATTGTCTGTTATTCAACGCGTTTTAAATGAGCAGCATTTTACTGAATCGTATCAGCCTATATTGCACGATTGTATTTTTGATCGCTTTTGTGGGACAGAAATTGAATTCCGCGGCGAACGTTTCTGCTGCACATGAAAGAGCCGCGCAATTAAAAACAGCGCAATATTTCCATTCGCTTTCTATTTAGGCGAGAAACTGCTGCCTAGTGACAAATACGTAATGACGGAGCAACCGTTGAACGAGTACTCCTGGCAAATGAATCTCACTGTCAATTCCCTGGAAAAACGGGACTTTGGTGGATACGTGTGCTCGTCCGTCAACGCGCTCGGAAAGTACGACGGCGTAGTTCGGTTACAAGGTACAAAGAATTCTCTAATATTATCTAAAATTGTATTTTGTCTGCTCCTATTATCTTCTTCTCTAATAGCTCATTCCCGATTATAAAACGAGTAATATATTTTGCGATATATTTGACAGTATTTAAAAATAATATCGATCTTTTTATTTGCAATTTTCACGTGTGTGATGTTAGATTAGAATTATAAAATTTTCTGTTATTTTTCATCAATAAATTAATAAGCTTTATCAGTAAATTCTAAAAACTCCAATTTTTTTTACATTAGCATTATTTAATATAATTCTCTCAACATTATTATGCAGCATATTACGCAGTATACCATAATGTTTTATCATTTCCTATTTAGAGCTGCATCTTTCTGCGAAGACGACACCGACGACACTCATGAAGAACACGGATATTAGGCAGCGCAAGAAGCCAGTACTGAAAGGTAAAAAAAAGAACAACAGCAGCGGCAGGCGAGGACAAGCGGGCGCTTTGGAGGAAGGTGATTCCATCAACAGCGATGATGATTTCGGTACCACGCAGATCATGACTGGTAGCACTCAAGAGGGCCAAAGAACGGATAGGCCCGTCGTGCCTTCCTTACCGCCACCGCCTTGGGTCACCGTAAATGCCGCGAATCTCAGGCATCCCTCGGTGTCCGCGATTTTGCTTTTGCTTCTTCTGCCGACCACCTTGTAAGACGATGGCGAAGAGCTTCAAAAATAAATGATTATGAGAGAAACTGCGATTATAAAGATCCACGAGTTGAAGAAGTATAAATTTAAAATCTCGATCCTGCGCGACACAGGTAGAAGAATTAACATTTGATTAATTAACGTTGATTTAAAGTTTCAAGCACTGACTTTTTGAAATTTTTTAAATTAACACACGTTTGGAATTATTGTGAATTTTTTTATGCTTTTATTGTTTATATTATTAATATACAGGTGTTCCGTAAATTTTGGCCAATTGCTTTTGTATAGATAGAGCGGGCTAAATTGAGTCGAAAAGTTCTCTTTATCATTTTACAATTTTTACAATGGTTAATGAGATATTGATTACTAAATATTGCCGAAAATTGGTTTTCAATAATTTTTCACTCAAATACTATCAACTTTACAGAAAAACTGCAAGAGACAAAAATTATTTATTTTCTTCTCATAGAACCCTAAGAATTTTTTCAGAATTTTTTATCAACTTTTTAATACTACATTTTTTATTTTTGCCACCATAAAAAAAATGTGATATTAAAAAATTTTGAAAAAATTTTGAAAAAATTCTTAGAACCTTATAAGAAGAAAATAAACAATTTTTATTTCTTGCTGTTTTTCTGTGAAGTTGATAGTATTTGAGTAAAAAATTATTGAAAACAAATTTCCAATATTTAGTAATTAATATCTCGTTAATCAATGCGAAAATTGCAAAATGGTAGAGCACTTTTCGACTCAATCTGCTCTAATATAAAATCGATTAACCAAAACTTATCGAACACCCTGTATATTTCACTATAAACTTATCTGAAAACTTTAAATGCAATTACATAACTTTTTTATTTTGTATTAACGTGATCATTTATATATTTCTTTTTTTTTCTACAATAAAGTCAATCTTAAAATATTCAATGTTACATTACTATCTTGTAGGAAACGATTATCTCCGCTGTTAATAATGGTGAAAGTTTTCTCTCAAAGCTTATCAGAATATATTTAAAGAGGGTAATCGTTATAAAGAAATCTCTGAATATTACAGATTTCTACTTTAATTATTATTTGATGTACTTTACGTTTTTTGCGATGTCAAAATGCTTTCTCGGATTACGTGCCTCGCTCTAAGTATTGATCGCGAAATCCAATATCTTTGAAGGGTAGAAAACCAATCTATTTAAGGGGAGAAAAGCTTGATTCTAACGGAATCTGACATCGACTGCCTGGTCATTATCTTCATTACCCTCTATCATTTATTATATATAATTCCCCCCTGGCAGCTTTTATCTTTTTAATCATGACTTTAAAGTAAACATTAAATTTGTCATGTAATTGCATTCTAGAAATCTATCTTCGTAAAATTATAATTTACGAGAATTTTAAGAAAGTTTTTAAGATATTGAAAAAATATAAAGTATATTTTTACTAAAGAACAGGGTAAGTCATTTTCTTCTTCTCAATTAAATCATTGCGATATTTAACTTGTTGTTCATAAGAGAATTAATATTTCACGTATCGTCGGATATCATTTACATACGAAACTATTATAAATTCAGGATAGAGATTAATGAATGAACTTTGGAAAGCAAGCAAAAGGGTTAGTTAGGGACACCTCGTGGATCTTCATTAGTCGCTTAAAAGTAACGCAAAGGGACGCGCTTTGCGTACGCGACAATCCTATCTGGGTAGGTCAGTCCCTCTGGCGATGATGTAAATATAAATGAAGGTCGAGTAAATTCAAAAAAAATGTACAGAGAAGACTCTGCTTCCGAGTTATTTAGACCTTACGATAGTGCTTCTAAAATTTTGCAAATAAAAATCCTTTGAAATACACTAATATCTTTATTGAAAAACTTTATATTAAATAAATGCAGGAAAATACAATTTTATAAAAATTGTATGAAATCAAAAACTCTTGTGTTCTACAATATTATATTTCAAATTTTTATTCAATTTGTTATCACAATTTAAATGATTATAAATTGGCGAGTTCAATCTTTCTTTAAAAATATTTCTATAGCGCTGTTTGAAGATTTGAGACTTGTGATGGGAATAGAGTCGAGAGGATGAAGCGAAGTCATGCTGAAAAAAGATGAAAAAAAGAAATATAGGTCTTCCCCTTATTCGATATAACAAGAATGTATCTAGATGCGATCGGATGTAGTCACTGCTGCGACCAAAAAGACTCCGTCGAAACTTTCGACAGGGTCTCTGTAAATATACGCGACACGATGTCAACACGTGAGTTAGAGAGGTTTTTTCCTCTCTTTCTCTCTCTCTCTTTCTCTCTCTCTCTCTCTCTCTCTCTCTCTCTCTCTCTCTTTTTCTCTCGTTTAGACGTAACCGGCGATTAATCGGACTGTAGATAAAATACAGGTCAAACAAGTTCGTGCATCGCTCGATCGACACGGTGAACACGGAAAAAGGAGATAACATCGGGGTGCGAATGTGCCGGAACTGCGAGATGAGTTCTCTGTGCCGACATCCTGCATGCTGCAGAGTTCGTATAGATCTCGTCGTGGCTATTGAATTTAACTGTTCAACAGACCTTGCAAAAAGCCGAAGCAAGAGGCAAACAAATCTGTAGATCGAAATAGACTGATCGAAGAATAACACATCTTGTTTTTTTAACGCTATTTATCGGAAAACTGTTTTGCATCAGCTGTTTTATGAGAGACGTTTTTTATCGTGCAGAAGAAACACGAAATTTACGCGATGCACGAACTTCCGATTCGACGTTAAGAGTTCTCGCAAATTAATGTTCGTATTTTTGTCGCTTAGAGTTGAAGTACATGGAATAAATACATATTTCAAAATATAAGTTATTCCTTTTACTTCGTGCGAACGTTAATAATTGACATTTATATAAAAATTAAAAAGATTTTACACTTTATTTTTAACAAATGTCAAATATAATCTTTACTTTATATATTATAGCTTCTCTTTATATTATATCCATATTAATAACAAAGAATCTACTTATAGATATATATATATATATATATATAT